GGTCCTGGGTCCCATCAAACTCCGGTGGTTTTGTGTTGTTGAACTCCCGGAACAGCAACGCATCACCACCCTGCGGTATAGCCGCAGCTACAGCTGCAGTGGCCGCAGCAACAACAACATCAGAAAGAGCAGTGTATCTCTCGTCGAATGTCTCTATCAGGGTGGTATTGATAGACCCAAACATCTCTGGAATCTCATCGCGGATGGCAGCAACCACCTCATCATGAATCATCTGGCAAAGCTCCTCGTCACACACACACCCTCCACTGGTCCCTGGTCTATGGCGTGTCCCTACCATGATGCCTCTCTGAAATACAACATAAGATATCAGTAATTTTCTCGGATGTACACACACTTGATATCCCAACCCTACTTGATCTCTGGTACCCTAAGGATTCTTACTTGGGTTGCGCACTGACCCGATGCCTTCGGTAATACGGGCCCAATACTACCGACCACACTGACTCAGCATTCACACCAAGTCCTCCTCCCAGAGTCCCAAATCCTAAGTACGTTATTCTCTCTAATCATGTGCTACTCACTAGCAGATCTCTCATAAGCTCCTTGCTGCTATCTAAACACTCTCAAGCATCCCTAGTAGCAAAACCCCTAGACTAAGGTATCATATATCAGTTCACTCTAGTCCTAATAAGAATACCTAGTCTTACTCTAGCATGCATAATATAATTCATCATATAGCATAACATAACGTTTCTTTTAAAACTTATTGTAAGGGTATTTTGGGAAATCACCGTTCGGGCGCTGGCTGGTCGTACACACGGTTCCACTCTGTTTGTCTCAAAACTCTTTTTACTCTTTTTTAAAAATTTACTTTATTATCAAATTTTTCTTCAAATCCTCAGTTTGAGTTCACATACGCCCGAAGATGCATCCGAATCCCTCAAACCAAGGTTCTGATACCAAATTGTGACACCGTAAAATTTAAAACAATTTTTTGCATTTTTAAACACATTTTTTCCAAACACATTTATTAACAAAATCCCATTGTATCATAACTTTGTTTAACAAAATGTTTCCCAAGATCAAAATACATAAAATCCATGCGTGTGTATGAATCATGTCGGCGCCTTCCCGCGATCATCACTGGTACCTGAAACACATAACACATAACACTGTAAGCATAAAGTTTAGTGAGTTCCCCAAAATACCATACATAACACATACTAGCCACTCGAGGCTATAACTATGTGGGCCCTTGGGCCCTAACTCTGTGGACCCTCTGGTCCTAGTTCTGTGAACCTTCCGGTTCTATCTCTGATATACTCTGATATACACATGGCATAAATCACATAGAAATAATGCAGTGCAACACAACACATAAATAGCATATAATAACTCTGTCACATAACTCCAATTACCACTCAAGGTATAGTATAGTGAGAAGACTCACCTCAGATGTCTCGGTAAATCTCTGACTCGGTAGAAATACGATCTAGCCCGCACCTAATCACATAAAGTAATACTCTCATAAATATAACTCTCAGGACTAGACTCAACCCTCTCTAGGACCCCTCAGAAGGGTAAAAGACCATTTTACCCCTCCTTTGGCTCAAAGGCCCTCATTGTTGACCAAACCCTAAAAGTCAACCAAAGTCAATGGTCAAACTTTGACCCGAATCGTCGAGTTCACTTGGGCAAATTGGTGAGTCCACACATGTCCACTACTCCCTAGTCTCACTTGGCATGTCGAGTCCCTCCCCTTGCTCGACGAGTCACACCTGGCATGAATTGCGGGGCTACCCCGACTCAACTCACCAAGTCTCAAGATCAACTCGGTGAGTTTCGTCTTGAACTCTAGTCCTTTAATTCCTCTCTGACTCACTGAGTTATTCCCCTAACTCGGTGAGTCTACTCGCTGAGTGATTTACGGGAAACCCTAACCCTACTCGCCGAGTCTGATCTTTGGACTCGGTGAGTTCATGCCATGCAAAAACTCCATTGACCTCCTGAGGTCAGGTCTGTTCCTTAAACCCATAGATCTGACCTTCCCAAGCATGATAATCACGTAAAGTTTAGACCTTGACACTCATATAACATCTAGAAGGTCCAACTTGGTGATTTAGCCCCAAAAATAAACTCCTAAGTTCATGGCTCCCAAAATAACTCATAAAGCTCCAAGGGTAAAGGTATTTGGACCTCTTTGAGTCCAGATCCAAAGCATAACTTTGAGAAGGGACCAATTGCTCCACATATCCATTATCTAAAGGGGTTAGAAAACCCTAACTCTAAGAATCAATACCAAAACTGAAGAAGGACTGAATAAATACCTCAAGATGAAGTCTTTGAACTCTGAAATCACCAGATCCGCTCCTCCTTCAACCTCCTCTTGCCTTGGTCACCTCCTTTTTGCAATCACACCAACAAAATGATCAAAAGTGGCCTCTCCTAACACACAAACGCTCTAGATCTCTTAGGGTCTCTCTCTGGGGTTTGGTAGCCGCAAATGACGACCCTAAGGGCCTTTAAATAGTTGCCAAACCCGGGAAATTAGGGTTTCATTAAACAGCGTGGACTCGCCGAGTCCACTCATGGACTCGTCGAGTCCGGTCATGAACCCGGATGACAATCCGCAACCCTACTCGGCGAGTCTAAGCACCACCTCGCCAAGTCCCTCTACAAACTCCAAAATAAATGAATAAAATAATATACCTGGGAATCCGGATGTTACAGAAAGCTCCCTCGTTGACACATATCAAGGTTTGGGGTTGCGAGGCTTTCGTAAGACGAGAGACTCACGATAAGCTTGAACCTCGCAGTGAGCACTGTATTTTCATCGGGCACCCGCAGAAATCCTTTGGATATCTCTTCTATAGACCGAGAGACAATGTTGTCTTCGTTGCGAGGAGAGGGGTTTTCCAAGAGCGAGAACTCATAAGCCAAGGGGACAGTAAGAGGCAAATCAATCTTGAAGAGATTTAAGAGTCGAGTGATAAAGGAACCTCTAACGTTGGCGCTCAACCCGAGGAGGAAACTCTGGTTGAACTGACTGACGAATCCTTACCTCTTAGATGTTCCGAAAGAGGTAGAGTTTAACCCCAGTTATATGGTTTTCATATTACTACAGAAGGGGACACATATATTAGTGATAGTACACAAATAAATCTAGATGAACCTAACAGCTATAAGGAAGCCATGGCAGGCCCAGAGTCTGCAAAATGGAAAGAGGTAATGGACAGCGAGAAACAGTCCGTGTACGATAACCAAGTTTGGAATTTGGTTGACCATGTCCCCAGACGTAAGACGGTTGGGTGCAAGTGGATCTTCAAGAAGACGGCCGACATGGATGGGAATGTGCACACGTATAAGGCACGATTGGTTGCAAAGGGCTTTACTCAAACTCTCGAAGCTGACTATGATGAGACCTTCTCACCAGTTGCCAAAATAAAGTCTATTAGGGTGATGCTAGCCATTGCTGCATTTCATGATTATGAAATATGGCAAATTTATGTCAAAACCACTTTCCTTAATGGGAAGTTGGCTGAGGATGTTTACATGGCTCAGCCATAAGGTTTTGTCAATGCGAAGCATCCCAATAGAGTGTTCAAGTTTGAGAAGTCCATTTATGGACTTAAGCAAGCATCTCGCAGATGGAATCTTTGCTTCGATGAGAAAGTCAAAGAGTTTGGGTTTGTACGAAGTGAAGATGAGTCATGTGTATATGTCAAAGCTAGTGAGAGTATAGTTAGGTTCCTCGTATTGTATGTCGATGACATACTACTCTTAGAAAACGAAATCCCGACACTGCAGGAAGTTAAGTCCTGGCTTGAGAAGTGCTTCGCTATGAAGGACCTCGAAGATGCTTCCTATATTTTGGGAATAAGCATAGTGAGAGACCGAAGTAAGAGACTAATAGGACTTAGTCAGAATACTTACTTGGACAAGGTGCTAAAACGTTTTAGTATGGAAAACTCAAAGAAGGGAGAATTACCAATCCAAAGTAATGCCAAGTTGAGTAAGACTCAAAGTCCGAGTACCGAAGCCGAGATAGCAGAGATGAGCCGCGTACCTTACTCTTCCGCAGTTGGCTCGATCATGTATGCTATGACCTGTACTCGCCCTGATGTGGCCTTCGCTTTGAGCATGGTCAGTAGATATCAAGGTAACCCTGGCAAAACACATTGGACCGCAGTCAAGAATATTCTTAAGTTCCTTCGGAGGCAAAGGAATGGTTTCTAGTCCTCGGAGGGAGTGATGACTTAAAGGTGCGAGGGTATAGTGACGCCGGTTTCCAGACCGACAGGGATAACTATCGTTCACAGTGGGGCTGGGTCTTTACCTTTTATGGAGGAACAGTGACTTGGAAAAGTTCCAAGCAAGAAACCGTAGCTGATTCAGCGTGTGAATCAGAGTACATTGCAGCGAGCGAAGCGTCAAAAGAGGCGATATGGTTGAAGAACTTCATTGGAGACCATGGAGTTGTACCACTACTAGTAAAAGGCTCAGACGATGCGCAAATGCGCGTCAAGGAAGGCCCTGTCATGAAGAGAGACGACGCGCATTTACGACGCACGTCTATGACGTGCAATTATGACGCGCGTTTACGACACGCAATGCGTGTCAAGGAAGGCCCTGTCATAAAAGAAGATGACACACATTCGCGTGTTGTAACCTTACGACGCGCGTGTTAATGACACGCAATGCGTATCAAGAAAGCCCCTGTTAAGAAAGGCCATGTCATAAATGAAGATGACAGACATTTTTGCGTATCATAATTTTAAATGTTTAAAAAAAAATTAGTTATAGATTTGCTTATTTTCAAATTAAATTTGTATTTAATGTTTAATAATAGATAATAAAATATCATATACAAAAATAGAATCCATTGCATAAATTTAATATCATACAAATAATCGTTCCATGGAAGATAAAACAAATTAATAGAAGTTGTAACAAAAATTTACAAACAAATGGTAGCAAATATGTTATCAAAATTCCTACATTAATTAGTGATAAGCTCTGATCCTCCGGTTGAATTTTGCAGTCAGGAAATGATTAAGACAAGTACACATTATTATAAAGTTCATTTATGATCCTCAAATAAAAAATCAAGCAACTACATATATTATTGGCCATGAGAGAAGTAACCTTATAATAGATCTCAAGAAGCACATTGTTGCGAGCTGCCTGCAGAAAACCATTGCAAACATAAAGACATGAGCATGAGCTTTGTTGTTGCTTTCATAAAAAATGAACTTATTCTACAGGTTATAAGATATAGTATAAATTTTTAACTTTTAAGCATTTTATAGCTAGCATAAAATAGAATTTGGAATCATTAAGAATATAATGAGTACTTTGTTGTTGGAAGAAGCCTAATCGTTGCATAATATTTTGACTCAAAAAGGAAAATGTGGCAAATTTACCTGTACAAAGCTAGAGACAGAAAGAAGTGGCTTCTCTCCAATCTTCTGATTTCTAGCCTAAAAATTAACAAAGAATTTAGCAACTTGTAAGGAATAAGGAAAAAAAGTACTACACTAAGTTCAGAACTTAAAAATCAATTAAGATAACATGCAAATATGAAAGCAGAATACCTAATAACTAGGCCAACAAGTTAGCATCATATATATTCAGGTGTAAACATATGAAAGATAAGTTTAGGTCACACAAAAGTTTTCCAAAACAAAAGTAGAAGATAAATATAATAAAATTAAGAAATGAAGAACATACATGTATTAGAAGCATGACAAGTGAAAAGATAACTTTTGCAACTTCTGTCAGAAAGTTAACACTGATGGGGCTAAAATTGAATCTCCCATCAACCTTGGACAAGTACACCAAAATCGGCTGTAAAAGATGATCAATTTAGTGAGGTATTGATCAATTATGTAACATGGAAACAGTACACAACTAACTATACCTAAATATAATCCGGTCAACGATGCATGGAATTTAAAGAGTTGTTTATGTTATGTGAAAGATATGTACTATAAATAGATACACAAAACACGTTCTTTATCTTGTCTTCCGGGATAAAGAACATTTTGCCCTTATTTTGAGTTATCTATTATTCTCTTATTGTAATTATGTATTATATACCCTTGTTCAGAAATAAGGTTATTTTGATCATTTTAAATATGACCTAAAATATTACTCTTGTTCAAAACATGTTATTTAAATCAAGAATGAAATTAACCTAATTTATCATGTCACTGAGATAAAACTAGAGAGAAGAAATGATGAAAATACACTTGTGTGCATAACAAGAGCAGAATCAACCTAATTTATTTTGGGTGGAACGTGAATAGGGGGTCGACCAGGAAAAGGGTTAGCATGGGGATGTGATTTAAGTTATGATTATGTCAAAATTAATTATGCAACCTCTTTAGGCCCGGACAGTCTTGATAAATGTTAGTCAAGCAAATGCAGCCACTGTAATTTTTTACTTAACTTTTTTGTTTCCCGTGATGTAAAATGATGTAAATGAACACAATGAGGTTTACACTTTACATACATTGGAAAGGGCATATGAGCAGTCTATTACATCTTGGTAACCTGCATCTGTAAGGGCATATACGTCATTTTACATCACGAGTAACAAAAAGTTAAGTAAAAAATTACCGTGGCTGCATTTGCTTGACCAGCATTTATCAAGACTGCCCGGGCCTAAAGAGGTTGCATAATTAATCTTGACATAATCATAACTTAAATCACATCCCCATGCTAACCCTGTTCCTGGTCCATCTCCTGTTCACATTCCACCCAAAATAAAAAAATAAATAACACAAGTTTCTTTTTGATTTAATGCAGAAAGAATGACTTAATAATAAAGTTACCTATGGATATCTGAATTTTGACAGTGCCATGAGCATCACCAGCCTCTTTCAGGTAATTACTAGCTGCTGCCCTGGAACACTCCCGCATTTTCAGTATTTCAATTATCATGTATCATGTATCATGTATGGTGTTACTGTTACCTATCAAATGGAAGTGGCTGGCCTCCTTCCATAAGTAGAATATCTCCAAGTGCTATTCTAAGGGCATTTGAGTCAAAAAAAAAAATCCCCACACACCCTGCAGCACAGGCTATCCGCCCCCAATTTGGATCCCTACCATAAATTACCACCTGATAAAACCAACCATAAAAAATCATCATTATATCATTGGAAGTAGTTATTTCACCTTGAAATAACAACATATTAACCATCATGCCTTGGTAAGTGAAGAAGATGCCACTGAACGTGCAATCTTTGCTGCTTCACTTTCACTCCCTGCACCACTTACTGTCACCTGCATAATTTCTCATTTCCATAAATACCCTTCTGCCCTCCCCCCCCCCCCCCCAAAAAAAAAAGACCTCTATCAAACATGTTGCCCCTTCTCCATCCCATGCTATTGATTTGGCAACCCCTTGCAATACCTTAACAAAAAAAAACACTTGTAAAATGCATGTAACAACAAAAGGGTAAATTGGTAATTTAAACATACCGCATCAAGGCACATTTGTAGTTGGTTTCCTTCAGAACTGTGTAATGATGATATCCTGTTTGATCCAGATAAACCACTAGCCAAAGCAATAATGGTATCATTGGTGCTAGTATCCCCATCTACCTGCAATATTTTAGTTATTAATACACACATGTCACTGTTGGTTAAACGACTAAAATACCCTTTAATGATGCTACTACTTATAGTAATTTGGTTGAAACTTCGATTCACAGCAACCTGAACCATCTTTCGCTAGATGTCAGTATCTACACAAGCATCAGTCGTTATAACCTGAAAATTGACATTTTTTTTGAATCAATTAAAATTTTTTTACAAAACATTTTGTGGTAATAAATTAATAATATGGCAATATTAGTACATACACCAAGAAGTGTTCCCATGTTTGGGTGGATCATTCCGGAACCTTTTGCCATTCCCCCGATTCTTATACCGCTTCCACCAACCTTAAAAAAATAACTTTTTTTTTTAATAAAACGATAATAAATGAAATAAAAAAAACTTAAGCAAATAAATATAAATATGATACCTCAAACTCTACTGCTACACTCTTGCTCACAATATCAGCTGTTGTTATTGCTACATCAGCAGAAATTGCTCTGCAAACCAAAACTAGAATAGATAATTAATTTAACATTTAAAGGAAAGGAATGCAAGGAGTTACAAATTACAACATTACCCCTTGAAACTTGATGAAAGCAAACTAATTAACTTAGGAAGTGAATTAAGAAGTGGCTCCTGCACATAATATGATAAGTCAAACAAGTGGTCAAGAAATTGACTATAAATGAACTTGCTGTGTTATTTACCTTCTTTATTCGTTGACCAATTACCTCAGTTGATTCTATCAAGATTTCATCTGGGCTTACTTGAAGTAACTGTAGAATTGTGAATTATCAGTATTATTTTCATTGTGTAAATAGAAATAAATGAACACAATGAGGTTTACACTTTACATACATTGGAAAGGGCATATGAGCAGTCTATTACATCTTGGTAACCTGCATCCCCTGTAAGGACATATACATCATTTTACATCACGGGTAACAAAAATTTAAGTAAAAAATTACTGTGGCTGCATTTGCTTGACTCAGGGACCAACATGTAACTTACTGTAATATTTATAAATATTTCTTTCATTCACAATAAAATGATAAATTTACCTGAGGAAATGCATAGTCATGATGTGCATCGCGTATAGATGGCACAAGAATCACACGTGCAGCAGAGCCCATATATTCCACATAATCTTAAAGTTGAGGAACAATTCATACATAAAAAATGAAGGGAAAAAGTGGAAATAAAAGTGTTACAGGTAAAAATAAAGGAGCAGTTTAGACGATTATACCCTCCTAAGGATTTCAAGACGGAATAAATCATCATAAGTCCTGTAAGCGCTAACCCCCAATAACAATCCCTACATCCGAATAGGCAGGCCCGCATAGATGCCCTATCTCATATACAGATCATCTGGTGCATCTATCTCCTCTAACCATGCATATTCATCTTCTTTTCCATCAATCAACTCATCTCCACTTCCTGTCATTCCAATAAAGAATACAACAACCTTTACAAATTCACAAAATCAAGTAATAGATTATGCTCAACTTACCAAAACTGGAGTAGGGGTAATCTCAGTAATAAGTACATTTTCTTCCGGAATATTCTTCATACGGAGGTGTGAGAATGTCAAGTACAGCACAAAAGGTTATGGCAGTGAAGCAATGGAGGTTCCCTCCTATTTCTGGATACAAAACTGAAGTGCTCCATGGTGCTGGCAGGACTTTGTCCACTGACAACTTCGCTAACCTAACTATTACATGAATTCCATCAACACTTTGCATTTTTGCACTTAAATTAAATGTTTTAAATATAGGTACAGAGATGATTTTTTCTGTAGAGTTAGTTATGTTTCTAATCATTATGGAAGAACTAAAATCAGACCTGGAGCTCGAGCAATTCCCTTTGAATCCTTGGTGAGTGGTGGTTCAACTCTGTTATGTAGTAAGTAAGACATGGATTAAATTATAAATTCTTGATCAGTTAATCTCTCAAATTGATCAGTTAATCTCTCAAATCCTTGATGAATCCACTGCCTGGCGGTGTGTGATTCGAGGCGACGATGTGATTGTCTTTCAATGGACGTTTCGATGTCCGATTGACACGGGTGAGCTTCAGGATCGACTTGTGGAGATATTTTCAAGCAAAGAATCGATGAAGTATAGACAAGAAAAGGTTACTTACGTTTACTGAGATGTGGTTGAAAGCCCTAGTTCTTTTCATCGAATTTGTGAAGACATGACCTGAGATGGAAGGATATGGAAACGGTGAAGAGAGAGAGATAGAGAAGAAGGCAAGTGAGGAAGGAAGGAAGGGGCGTCGATAACTAGGGTAAAGCGGCAGTTGGGACGGGTAAGGAAGGAGCATCGATAAGATAATTAGGGCAAGAGGGAAACAACCATCGAAATCGACAATGCCGTCTCCGAAATTGACCGGAAAGCACCTCCATTCATCATCATCGACAGATCCATCCCAGTCTCCTTCTTTCCGTCACTTTTCACAATAGAGAAAAAAGAGGGGAGAGTCGATGCAAAAAAAAGAGGTAGAAAAGAAAGGCGGCTTTTCAAAATTTTAGGGTTTTGTTTTCCCCCGTTATCTTCTCAAGGCGCGTTTCACCAAAATTATAAAGCGACACCGATAGAGGACGTGCGTTTAACATAAAGCGCCCTCCGTGTTTTTAATTTTTTTTATTGAGACACTAATTAAAGGGCACGCAAAAATGTGTGCCCTCTATCCTTCAAATTTTGGAAGGCTGACATTATTTTTAAGGGTACACAAAAATGCGTATCGTAAATCAGCGAGTGTCATTGTTTGCATGTCATTAAAGGGTATTTTTCTTTTAGTGTACCTCCAGAAAGGAGCCTATGGAAATTTTATGTGATAATGAAGGAGCGGTTGCCTTGACCAAGGAACCGAGGGATCATGGTAGATCTCGACATATCGACAGAAAGTATCACTTGATTAGACATCAGGTAGAAGAAGGACTCCTCGTTGTTAAGAGGGTATCGTCAGAGGATAACCCAGCAGATCCACTTACGAAGGGACTGAGTACGTTTAAGCACTTGCAGCACACTTGGAGCATTGGGCTGAAGGACAATATTAGTTTAGATTATATAGTTTAGAAACGTGTAATAGATAAATGTAATTGACATTTGATGATTAAATAAAGGAGTATTATTTATAAGTATAGTCACTATCTTATGTTGATTGTTTAACTATTATTTTGCTTTGCATGTTTTGACTTCCTGAATAATTGAGTTAATTAAGAATAATCGAAATATTCAAACGGTCCACAGTCGTTCATATGTTGGAAGTAGGTATGAATGAAGACTATCATGAATTGGTCTGTAGATTGTCTAAAAGGTATTAGACATAACAAAGGTTTGTTACAATGTTCATGAGTGCTTATGATTAAGTTTTGAGCATTGGAATAAACCCACGCTTGTTGGAATCACTTCATGGAATTTATCACGAGTGATCGCAAGACGATAATATCATATGGTCTTAAAACCAAGATATTGATGGGTTTTGAGCATTCTAACACTTCCTAAGTGTACATGTAATCCTAATAACCTTGTATCTATGTTTGTCTAATTATCATGCAAAGTTGAATTCCAAGGTTATATTCCTATCTAGCATACATGGGGAACAATTTTTAACTTGAATGGAAGATAGAATAACTTACCTTGTTGTTGCTTATGATCCTTGAAACCTTGTGAGCCTAGCACCCCAAGTGTGATGCCTCAAATGATTCACACAACACCAAATGCAAAGGAGTAAACTTCAAAAGAATCTTACACTTGCAAAAATCGGCCTAGACCTCAGTTGTTCATGTATAGCCGATTTTGGAGGAGAATGAGTTCCTTATATAGTGTTGACACATCTAGGGTTACACCATGTAAACCCTAATATGTCATGACTCTTCATTTCCATGATCCATGGGTTTGTAACTCCCATGGAGCATCCAATGGGTGGAACCCAACTTGATAATCCATGGAGCCTCTTAGCCCACTATACAAGTATGGATGATTTACATAATCAACCCATATATTTAATTAGTTATCTTTTGCTCACTTAATTAATTCTTGATCAAACTAATTAACTAATATTATTAATATATTAGAACTTATAATATATTAATAAACCACAAGTGTTATTTCTCTCATTTAGTCTATCCAATTGCATGGTGCCATGCAACCCAAATGGACCATGTCGGGTCGGGTCAAGTACATACTAGAAATAATTATGGACTTAAACACCTTATCCAACAGTCTCCCACTTGGATAAGTCTAATAAATATAACTGCAAGTATGACTTCAGGAATTGATCAACAATCGTAGCTCTTTCAAGGTTTCTCGGAACTGAGAAGATGATGATACGCCATTTAAGATAAGTGATCATATAATCCTCTGTTCGAGATATCAGCCGGACAAATACATGGAACAATGTCTTACTTATTGTCCAGCAGTTTGTTTCCCGATTTCCGATTTGTTTGACAAAGAACTTAATTGAACACATCAACTTAGTTCTGACCGGACCCGGTACATATGTCAAAACAAAATCATCGAGGGGCCCAGATATCAGCTTCTAATCCAAGAAGGAATAGATAAATTTCGACTCATATGTTTGTTCTACCACTCATTGAATTATACACAAGAGCACGTTTTATAACATCGAGTTACCAATGCGTTTTCGTACAATCAATGCATAACCAACTCATAAGTAACAAATCATATCTCTAGGTTTGAAGACTTATATGATATTACCGTCTCACGATCACTCGAGATAAATTCCATGAAGTGATTCCAGCGAGCGTGGGTTGAGTCCAATGCTCAGACCTTATGAGCACTCATGATTGTTGTAACCATGTCCAACACCTTAGACCTATGAAACCAATCATGACAGTCTTGATTCATACCTACTTCCGACATATGACCGATTGTGGAAGTTCGAATAATATGATATACCAAACATAATTATTCTGGAAGTCAAAACATGTAAAAGAAATATAGTAAACGATCGACAAGTGTCACACCCCCAAACCAAGGATGGCGGAAACGTCCGGGGGTGGAGGACTTCATGTATAGCATCATAACCACAATTTCAATAGTAATTCAAGCAAACACAACCAACATATATATAATTGAAAAGTTACATCACTTGCATGAATTACATGTTTCAAAATCAATTACAATATGTTGTCAAAATATGAAAAGTTTGACGCCTCAACGTCCCATCCTCAAAAGCACTTGGTAACACGATTAATGCTTTCCTGTGAATACAAGTTGTTTGAAAAGTGTCAACACAAGGGTTGGTGAGTTCATAAGCTTTTATTAATAATCTTATTAGAAGTCTTTCACATGTAAATGTCGCGTTGTTTCAGAAAAATCCGATATTTTCCTTGAAATCCGAAAAATGTAGCCTTACAACCAAAGACTAGAATGTATGAAAAGTCATCGTTTCTTAGTAGGAATGTTGTGAGTTTAAAATGAATTGGAAAGTAAATTTATTTTATCAACCTAAAACCTACTTTGGTTTTTATGCAACCCCGTAAACTTTATGAATTGTTGTCTCCCTAAGTGAGTCGCTATAATCATACTGTGACTATGTGAACCTGCCACAACGTTTCTCAGGCGTCGCGAAAATGAAATGACATTTGTCACCCGTAGACCTGCAGGTCCCACTGTAGCTAGCAGCAAGGTGTGGGGTGTCAAACCCAATATAGATCTATATACAAGTATCACGTTCTCCCTCAAGGAGATTCTGATTATAACTACCAGGAATTATATCCCGCACTCGGACGTACGGGGAGAGAGAGAGAGAGTCTCACAACATAGGTTAACAAGTTTACTTGAAATGTGTGTGAATATAAATCTTTCTTGTATGAATGTACCCTTTTTGTACGAGTGCGTTGAGTGATGTATCATAAACTATACCTATTATAGTTTATCTAAAATGTATGTAATATGTATGAATTCTTTTATGGAAATGTATTAGTATTGTGAATTTATCAAACTATACATTTTATAGTCTAATAATACGTGTTCCAAAATGAATGAATAATATTTAATATTTAATATGAATGTCTTAATTCCAGTTCATAATGATAAACTAACACGGAAACACATTCAAATATTAGAACTTATGATTATACACTTTGCTCAACATAATACAA